TATTAGTGTCAGTTCTCTTCTTCACAAATATCACATTGTTATATTTAGATTGTTGGCCAGTAGTTCCATCCTGATTCCTGCAGAGGGGACAGAAGGGGTTTGGGTTTGCTTTCACAATAGCATTCTTCACACACCTGAGGCTTGACTCTGCTTCCATTCAAATAATCAGGAATTTGTCCACAGTCTTCTAAAATTTGTGTCTGTGTCTTGAAAACAGTTATTTCAAATTAAAAATAAAAGTTTGAGTGTTGCTAAGTAGTTCATCACCTCTTCTACTCTGAATGGGAAGGAGGGGAAGAAAAAAAAAAGTGAATTGTTTCTTTCATCCAATATGAGCTTTTAATTTTTAAATACAGTTCTATTTATGAGGCTCCTAAAAAGTAAATACCAGTAATGTATGATGTGGGCCAGTTTCTTACATAAAGTATACACCTCTACAGTCAACAGATGAATGGCAGAGTGCACAGTCTTAAAAAAAAAAAAAAAAAATAGGAATGAGAAATAACTAAGAGTGACTGAATTTGATCCTCTGCAGCACAGATTCAGACTTCACATGATTTGTACACTTTGCCACTTTTCTAGCAATAGAACAACTTGAGAACTGTTGTAAATCACAGATTAGAAGTAGAACAGCACTGAGCCCAAAGGATCCTTTTCGTTTGCCACAAGTCCTGGAAAGGCCACGGGTCAGCATATGATCAAATAACCACTGCACTGGCTCATGCCCCGATACCCCTGCACTGGTTGCATAGCTGCTGAGTTACTTCACATGGGAATTCACAGATTTGCCCAAACACAGAAGAGAGCCTGCAACGCAAAGCAATAATTAACAGTCTCTGACTTGTGTATATAGAATCTCCTTGCATAGTTGGCTTCTGCGGATTGTTTATTCTCTGGCTAGAATCCAGCTTTCTAAATCCCTGCCAATACTATTTCTAAGTATGAAAATTCAGCAGTGTCTTAATCAGGGAAATACTGCTGCGTCACCACACTTTACAACAGGATCACAATGAATTACTCAATCTCCACGCAATCAAAAAAAGATAACAAGGATGATTATACAGGACTTACTTCAGAAACATTGTTCCAATATGGAGAAAAGCCCAAACCTAGTTCTCTCATGACTTTTCAGTTCTAGCCCAGTATGTCAATGCTCAATACTTTCACTAAGCCATAGACGCAACTAGTGCTTTATTCATATTAGAGTTCCTATATGTCTGTATCTGTAAGTGGAATTTAACACTTGGTACAATGAAAAACATATTCAGAAGAATGAGTCGTAACATTTTTCACAAAAGAGCAGTGAAGTCTGTCCTATAAAGACATAATTGTTGAGTTTCCCATCATCTTGGATAGTTTAAGTTCTCCATGAAGTCTCACCATGTGGGCTAATGCTATTTCTGCCTTTAGGTTTATGCTGTCTTTTACAACTTTACAGTATATCAGTCAATCAGGTTTGTATTCCATTCCTGTATTTGGAGATATTTTGTGTGAATAACTTCTCATTTAATCTATTTTGGTAGCATTCCGTCCAAACTACACGCCATGGTAATTCTGAAAAGACAAGACAGAAAGAAAAAAAGAAAAAGAAAGAACGCAAAAATTCATCCTTTACCATGTAGAAAAAAGCCAGTATTTTGAATGTTATCATGTACTAAAAATTCATGTTTTTCACTCAAGATAAAATATCTAAAAAGAATAAAATCTCCTTGTAAAAGTTCATGTCTGCAGAACTTTCCCTATGTTTTTGAATAGTAAGATGAACTGTCTTGGAAGTGACATAATGCAAAAGTGACATAATTTTATAAGTATTGTTGGTCAGAGGTTGACACTGCTGGTACTAGGTGGGGCAAGAATACAAAAATCTCTCAAATTCTCACCACAAAAAGCAAACCAGTGCAAGATGAGAGATTACCAGATGAAACATGTTTAACAATGAAACAGGTGTTCAAATTACAACAGGCTGAAAATGGTATGGAAATATCAGTCCTGGTGTCTTCGTATTTGGGAATGCTACAAAGGCAACAAATGTGCACAGTAAATGACCCAGGCAACTACCTCCTTATACCTTGACAGTTTTGTACAGAACAGTAGCCCTCTAGCAACAAATTAGTGAAATACAGAGATTCTGAAAAGCTTTCATGGAGCTGCAGAGTTCTGCAAAATACATTTTTTTGAATTGCCTTCCTCCATGGGTTCTAGGCACTTCACTTCAGCTCCTCACTTCAGCATCTCTGTTAAGTGAGCCATAGGAATGGCAACAAGGTAATCACCAAGGATAAGATTAAGAGAAGTAAGGAAAAAAATAAAAAAGAGGAAAAGAAAAAAACTAATATCGAAATTGGAGAGGAGGACAGCTGATTAGGAATATGTCTAAAGTATCACAACTTCAGACAACAGGATGCAGTCCAAAGTTTTTCTTGGTATCTTTCAGATGTCTCCTCCATCAGTGCTGGGCCTTTTCCTTCTCCAGGTAAACAGAAATCCCTCTGCCTTTTCTCTCTGAGGTAGTGAATCCTTTGTGTAATGCCACTAAGTAAAACTTCACTGCTTTTAGATTGTATCAGGAATGGAATTCTAATGGACTGAATAGTGCCCATTAGAATAAGTGTTGTTGTTTTTTTTTTTTTATCAGTAACATGATCAAGACTCAATTGTTTCTCAGCACAGCCTGAGAGCTGGCAATCCTCCACTGTCCTTCTAGGAATGCCCTGAGGTTTGTTGCTTGCAATGCTTGGTCTGCAAGCATATTACTGTCGAGGGGTTTGAAGCATAAAACAATGCTCACTGTTATGCTCAGTGTTATAGTTTGGTTCTTTATTAGGAAGTTTCTTTCTAGCTACTGAAGTATGTTTAGGAACACAACTTGTTCCTATGGAAATTAGTGAGAATTTTGCCCTTGACTCCAAATAGAACAGGAACAGACTCCCTGTCTGCAACATCAGACATCCCAGCATAAAGTGACAAAATCGTGTGGGCCTGCTAAGCTTCACCGTTGTGAAAAGGTCAGCCAACAAATCAAGAGACTCAAAGGGAGAAGCACGAATGCCACTGCTGGAGCTGCTGCACACACAGACATTAGATTTCTCCCTGCTTATCTCCAGAGAACATAGAAAATCAGCACCTTACCTTCCACCCCACACAAACTGCCAGGTAGATCCATCTACTGTTGTGCTCAGAGCCTATCACCTGCAAGTGAAGAAATCAAGCAAACCAGCCCTACCATAAAAGCAGTGATGTACTACGTCAGCTGAAGATAAGGCATTCAGATGCAGCATCAGCATCAAAAGGTTGTGATGTCACCTGAAGTACTCAGTGGCTTCTCTGTAGATTTTCTACATTGACAGGGGGTATTGAGATGTGCCTGGGGAGTCCTATCTATGTTGCATGCTGGTACTGATTTCTTGGGGGTGGGGTGTTACTCCTCCTCATTTCCATTTTGGTGTGCATTGTATGTGTGTGTAGGGTACCAATAAAAGCAGAAATCTGTCCTGTACTGAGGAAACTGCTAGTAGGTTAATTTGTCTTTATTTTTCCTACCATTATTAAAAAATAAAATCAGATTTAAAGCAAATTAACTGCTCCAAAGGTTGCACTATGCTGTTCTTAGATTTTAAAGATGGTAGTGGATTCTCAAGTCTACAGGTTATTATCTGCCATGTAGCATGTTCTGGCATTCAAACACAAACTGTTTGCCATGTGATTTTTGCTTCTCTCTCGAGAGCAAACATCCTGTCTGAATCAGATTTACACCACAGACGTTTCCAATCCCAAAAAGATGAGCTCTTTACAACTGAGGCTAAGTAAGGCATGCAGATCATGAAGACTTCATATTGGGGAATCTATAAAACCCAGCAAATACCTTTATTTTCAGGGCCTCTGAAAATGGATTGTTTTGTTTGGCATTTCTGAAGCAGTAAGGCAGCCTAGTCAACTCATTCTCAGGTCTGATTCTACTTGTGCCAGGCTTCTGGTGACCATTAACACTGCTGTTACTACCCACTGCCCTAGTATCTACATATGTCTTTTGAAATGTCTGTCTTCACAGAGTGCCTTATGCCTTCCTGAATTTTTAAGACCTTATTAACTTCCACACATTCTTTTCTTTCATGTAGGAGTCCATATCACACCCAATGGGACCTTGTGAGAAGGAAGTTTTGCCTTTCCCTTCAGAGTTCCTATAGCTTATATTGCAGTGATGTACAAATTAATCACTGGCTGAGCCCTACAGCCACTGAACTCCACTGTCTGAGCAATAAAATTTGGAGGTAACAAAGTTGAGCTGATGTATTCTTTCATCTGTCTATTTTGTAAGTAGGAAACAGAATCAGGTCCAAAATTTCCAGAGTCACTAGTGAATTCATGCGGGTCAACTTGCAGATTTGCAACATCAGGTGTTTTAGAGACCTGTCCTTTTCTTTGCCAGGCATATTTTAAAAAAATCCTTTGGGTTGTTTCATATTTGTGCCTTAAAATTCTAGTCACTTTGAAATCATTGTACGGAATTCATTAAAAACAAAGCAAGTAAATGAAAAGATAGTAGAGAGCTTTTCAAGACCTTCATATGTTAAAGTTCTCATCTTTAAGAGGAATGAAACAAACAAAATAGAAGAGCTTTACTTCAGCTTCCAATAATTTGCAAAAATACATTTCTTGCCTTATTTTTTACTTTATTTTTTTCAGCTAAATCCTCACAAAAGAAGTCAATCTATTATCTACTGCAGAAATGTGATTAGTTAAAAAAAAAATCAGTTCTCATCTGTAAACGTTTTTTTAGAAAAGGACCTCAGCCTAAAAGTTTATCAGAAATCTCCAATATCCATTAGGAGAGTGATTTTGAAAAGTAAGACCAAACAAAAAAAGTTGTAGCTGGATTTACCCCAAGTATATCATATTTTGAAGTATAAACATTCTTACAGTAGTTTATCGAGAGCATAATTATGTTCCCAGCTGGAATAATACAGTGACAGCTCTCATACCTGCCTAATGCCATTACTTACTGCTGTTATATGAAGCTGTGTGCTTTATAAGCTTGAAAAGGATACTTGGAAACTCATCTGCCTTTCTCCCACCTACAAACACAGGAAAAAGAGAAAGAATGAATAAATAATAGGGATTCTACTTCATTTCTTTAGTGCTTGATTCTGCTGTTGATGAGCCTACTCCACCAACATGCAAATCTTAAATGCATGACTGCATTATTTTTACCTCCATAAGTCTAGTACATTTGCCCCGACCACAAACATACACATACAAGAAAAGCAGGGGTGAGCCACTGCTCAAATTCTAGATCTGTGAACTTTTTCTCCAGAAGTTTTAACAAAAGGAACAAAAGAGTCTCTAGCAATAGAAACAATTCCTCCATTATACCTTCACACTGATCTGTAACAATCTTACTGCCTCTCAGACAGCAATGAGTGTTCATGCAAACACCTCGGTGACTGATACAGGAGAAATGTAGCCTATCATTTCTCATTATTGTACTGCAGTAACAATTTGCTGCTCCAAGAGAGATCTGTCTGGACACGATACCCACACAAAACAAGATTTTACACTGAAGAACCTATACTCCGAACAAACAAGACTGAAGATATGTAGAGGGACAATGAACAGAGAAAAGATGAAATAGGGGGATAAAGCAATATGCCCAAAGCAGATCAGTTACAGAGAAAGTAGCTCAACCATCTCCTGTATTCACTTTTTTTCCCAAACCACCGGAAGGACTTCCAACACCAGAGAAACAATGCTAAGTTTACTTCTACATGCCAGTAAAGTTGAAGCAACATACAGCTTGAGCAATACATAGCTGGGATATAAACTTTCCCAGAAGTACTTTATTTAAAAAATATATATAACCAGTACATTATAACCAAGTTACGTTGGTATAGTAAAATACAGAACCCACATTATCATCTATACCTGGGTTTAGTCTCCATTTCTATTTGCTTTTTTCCCCTCTGCTTCTTCAAACAGAACACCTTTAGCACTATCAGCTCATACAATTAGACATCTTCAGAGAACAGTATTCTCAAAAGCAACTATAGAAATCATACAGACTTCATAGAAAGTATCTTTCTTGCCACTCTGTTATCAGTCTTAAGAAATACATATTTACCCACCCTCCCATAGCAACCAGGGTCTCAGAACTGAAATGGAATATCTGTTCTTACTACTACAAGGAGCTTTACAGAAGGCACAAAGCACAGAAGAAAACCTGGCTCACTTTCTGTCTACCTGCATTGACTGTGCAGCACTAAGTAGTAAAAATTCAATAGTTCAATACAGAAACATAACTCAATGACAACTAAAGGAGATGAGATATTCAGACATCATTTCTTTTTCTTTCTTTATGTAGATTTGTCATTAAGTTTCTTCACTAGAGCCGGTAACGGTCAGAAAGTCTTCAATTCCCAAAAGATGTTTTCAGACAGATGTTTCACTGCCAAGCTGCTAAGAAGACAAGGTCACAGGCTTCATTCTTTAGAATACTTAAGTAAATGCTGGAAACACAGTTTGCTGATATTAGAGAACACTAATGCATTAGGAATGAGGCATATGTTTTAGCACTTTGCTGAACAGAGCTTGGGATAGGCTCTTCCTCAGGGTATGAAGGAAATGGATAGGATGGATATTGTTTACTCACTTGAAAGGAGCATTTGAGCAAAGAAATGTACACTTCCTACTGAAGCTCCCCTGCTATTCTAACTTACTACTGCTATCATTTCAGATGCTTATTGCCGAATGCCAGTCAGGTGCTGTTTAGGTTTAGAAATGTATATCTTAAAATATTTACACACTCCTTCTCAATGCTTCTATGAAGAATGCTACATATCAAAACGTTTCTTGGAAAACTATGAAAATTGGTTGAATCATTTCAGATGTTCAACTTGACATACATTTAAAAGTGGGTGCTCATTTTCTCTCTCTCAAAAAAGAAAAAAAAAGAAAAAAAGAAAAAAGCTTTTTAGCCCCTCTTTGATTGCAATTCTAAGACAAGTGACCAAGATTATCATTCAATTCTACAGACTTTTCTTTCTCTACTATTTTATCTCCTTGCTACATATATACTCTTTGTCATAGTTGACAAATTTAAAACTGCCAAAGAGTTCCATTTCTACCCGAACCCGACACAGTTAACATAAGAAGGCTGTGACCAGTTGTTCGCATAAATGGGATTAGAATTACTGATTTCAGCCGGATAACGACAGAACACAGCATCTTGAAGAGGTAGGGCGACTACCCTATGTTAAATAAAGATTG